CCTAGAGTGTCTGGGTTCCTGGGTTTTTGATCTCCTGCACCACATAAACAAATAACAATTAAGCAAAGCCCCACCAGTGGTGACGTAGATTCTCACAAAGTAAATGAACTGTCTTGACCTGACACCCAAAGGCTCTCCTATCTGGTCTCAACTTATGGTTCCACTGTTGTCTCCCCCCACCACCCCCTCTGTTTCCTACTTCCTCCCCACAAGCAGGTTTGGTTGTGTTCATTTCTGCTTTTTCTCCTCTGGGCTTTTCTTCCTGGTGATTTTACCCCTTAGAATGTTCTTTTTTTGCTTTTCCTGTTAAAAGTTTTGAGCATCCTCCAAAGGCCACGTCAGGAGCTCCTGGATGTCTCTGAAGGAAGCAGCATCTCATCTTAAGGGGGCCGTCTCTCCTTAACCCCAACAGCACTTTGCTTGGGTTTCTTCTTGCAGATAAATCAGTTTTAGCCATCTGTGATAATCAATTCTGTGCTTATCTTTTCCTTCTCCTAAGATGGAAAGCTCTTAGAAAGTGAGACTCTTTTATTGCTTTCATTCCTCCTAAACACAAGTGCTCATGATCCTGAACTAAGCATCTCTCGGTTTGAATGGGAAGCCCTTTAGTTCTTTCTAATGGATTTTCATTGAGACCAGGCAGTATGGACTCTCTAGCCCATCTTAAGCCACGGAGTTACAGACCACAGGCTTGGGTTAAGGTTAAATTGGCATATGTGTGTGCCATAAGACGTTCCTTTTATTCATGTGACGCAGCTATTCCCTTCACTAGTCACAGACTCCAATCCTAGATGCAACTTGGATATACTTTTAAGTCTTTAAGCAGTGTGGGACAGGTGGGCTCTCCATACATGCCTTTAAGTGTTCTTGAAAGTTTGCACTCTGTATTGTTCACACATAATTCATATTGAACAAAGTCTTCATGGGCTCATCACATTTTATCTTTGCGATGGTGCATGCTTTGTCTAGAACCGGACGGATGTGCAGTGCCAACACCGATGGCAGAAGGTGCTAAACCCCGAACTCATCAAGGGTCCCTGGACCAAGGAGGAAGATCAAAGAGTAAGTTCTGTTTCCATTAGATGTGTGAACTGTAATTAAGATTATTTCTAAAACATGTTTCTCATCCCAAGGAAACAATTTATTGTACAAGCAGAAAGTAAAGGGCTCGCTCCCATATATGTTCAGTGGATGAAAACAGGTTTTATTTTTTCTTAAGTTTTCTAAAGATCTTGTAACATTGAAGCTTTATGATACCGACTCATCCTGTAACATTAAAACACAGATTGTTTTTGTGTTTCTCTGAAGGTAATAGAGCTCGTCCAGAAATACGGCCCTAAACGTTGGTCTGTTATTGCCAAGCACTTAAAAGGGAGAATCGGAAAACAATGTAGGGAGAGGTGGCATAACCACCTGAATCCAGAAGTCAAGAAAACCTCCTGGACAGAAGAGGAAGACAGAATTATTTACCAGGCACACAAGAGACTGGGGAATAGATGGGCAGAAATCGCAAAGCTGCTGCCTGGACGGTAATAATTGGTCAATACATTGATCGGGAAGAGCAAGAGGACGGTCATTGCACATTCTAAGCGTGTCAATGTATTGCAGTCTATCAGTGAGAAGCATGTTGTTAGATAGACCAGAATCATTGAGTTTTAGAAGTGGAAAAGAGATCTTATTTCGTAGAGCACAGTTATTGCCACCTCAGTGGTGACATACATAAAAGGCCTTGGGCCAAGCTTTTCCCCCTCAACCTTCCCTTCTTCATTTGCAAAATTACTAATATTCTATTTCATGAGCTAATATTAGGATCACGGAAAATGAATGTCAAAGCATTTTGTAAACTGAAGAACTCTAGCTACGTAGAAGGAAACCAAAGACACATAGACTGGTTTGATCCCAGCCAGTTGGCAATCATTTTGGTCATTTCTCTGCTGTAGTAATATCTACTTCTTGCACCTCATTGTACCATTTGCTTACTCTTTTTTCCAGTGACTAAAAAAGGCTGTGTATGTAGAATTATCATGCCTATTTCCAATTTCTAACCAATTTCAGTGTAATGTCTTCTTTTTACTGGATGAGGCAAGAAAAGGGCCCCTTTATGAAGGATAATTGTGAAAGTTCACCTTTGACCCATTGTCTGTCTATATTTAAATAGGTATATAATTGATTTTATCAATTTTTGAGAAATACTTTTGCTATACATTTTAAAATAAAAGATCATTAAAAATATTTTTATTCTTTAGCTTCTTAACCCCAAAGTGGAGAAAGGATGGTTTCAGAGATGGCTTCTTTAGTATTTCCCTGTGTTGCACCAACGCATCTCCTCCCTTGTGGCTTGAGAGCTTCAAAAAGTCATGGATCTGGTCGAAGGAGATCTTTCCTCCCATGTGGCCTCAGGATATGTTGTTGACTTTTCTAAATACTTAAGGGGCACCCGAACTTCCTCTTTTTAACACTCATTTCCCCACCCCCATGGAAATAGTAAAAGGGAGTCTTTAATGGTTTTTTTCTTTCTTTCTTTCTTTTTTTTGAGCTGAGAATTTTTTCCTAAGAATGGAAAGAATTTATAGTAAATGCTTTGTAGTTTGAAACTATACTAGGCAGTCAAGTGTGGTAGGCAGCACTTGCTTGTAATCCCAGTACTCAGGAGATTGAGACCCAAAGATCAGGAATTGAAGGTCAGCCCAGACTACTACCCTGTCTCAGGAACACCCCCACCCCTCCCAAAAGACAGAAAATGTGCTGGAGCTGGCCTCTTTCATGTGGGATCCTGTTGAGTCTGGTGGAGAAAGTCCTTACCGCATTATCCAGTCACTTAGTTATAAGAATAATGGGAAGGGCCAGGTGGTGGTGGCGTATGCCTTTAATCCCAGCACTCAGGAGGCAGAGGCAGGCGGATCTCTGTGAGTTCGAGGCCAGCCTGGTTTACAGACCAGGCTCCAAAGATACACAGAAAATTCCTGTCTTGAAAAAAACAAACAAACAAAAGACTAATGAGAGTGGTTTTCAAAGGTAATAGAGATGTTTTTACTCTAACTTTGTACATAGAGTTACGAGAGGTACAGACAGGGCACTGAGGTTTTGCCATTGCTGTCCCCAGGCTTGGCTAAGTCCCTGCTGTGGTGTCTTGACCCTGCTAAGCCACATTCTAAGGGTCTATAACAGCTGGGACTTTAAGTTGTATTAAAATCCAGTAGCACATGAATGGGCAGAACCTGGAGAAGGATTATTATAGTGAACATCGCCTTTATGAAGGCGTCAAAATGCTAAAAAGAAAGCAGAATTTGCAGAAAACTCAATACATCCCAGATTGCAGTAGTAAGAGAAATCTATGGATTGTCAACTAGGCAGCAGGGAAAAGATGAAGACAATTAAAAGGAGAAAATAGCGGTTATTGGAACCATAGAGATGTTTTTTTTTTTTTTAGAAACAGTTTTCTGTCAGTTAACTACGATCTGAAATAGCATGGTTGTCATTTGTTTGGGGCGCCTTTCCACACAGGACTGACAATGCCATCAAGAATCACTGGAATTCCACCATGAGGCGCAAGGTGGAACAGGAAGGCTACCTGCAGGAGCCTCCGAAAGCCAGCCAGCCCCCGGTGGCCACTGGCTTCCAGAAGAACAATCACCTGATGGGTTTTGCTCAGGCCCCACCCTCATCTCAGCTCTCCCCAACTGGCCAGCCGTCAGTTAACAGCGAGTATCCCTACTACCACATCTCTGAGGCACAGAATGTAAGTCCTTCCTGAGAACCTAGTGGGAGGAGGGAGATGGTTATGTCCGTTACAGTTCATATATATGAACTACATGAGTCTGGTCACAGGCGGCCCTCAGCTAGACCCTAGCCGAGGGTACACTTGAGTCTGGCTTCTGTTTCTGGAGACAAGAACGGAAATAGTTCGTCCTCTGCATAGACGGAACGCTAAATAGAGTCTAAGTTGTCTGATTCTTACTCCCTGCTCCAAGTCTGATTTAAAGTTAGCTTTTGAATGTAAATGTCCTTAAAATGTTGCTAAGTCTTAACACTGGGTGAATGCAGATAGATTTATAGTCCAATATTTTGCTTTTTTTTCCAAAATGAAAAATTAGAAGGCTAAACAGGAGACTATCAAGAAATGCTCATCATAGAACCATCGATAAAATGACAGAACTTGCCCGCTGGGTGGTGGTGGCACACACCTTTAATCCCAGACCTGGGGAGGCAGAGGCTACAGGAACTCTGAGTTCGAGGCCATCCTGATCTACTGATCTACGAGTGAGTTTCCAGGACAGACAGGCTTGCACAGAGCAGAGAAACTCTGAATCAAAAAAAAAAAAAAAAAAAAAAAGACAAAGCTTACCCAAGAATTACAAAGATCATATGCAAATGTTATGTAAAACATATTCATGAATAGTTTTTACTTGGCTGTATCAGTTTCTTAGATTTGACTACAGAATTTCCAGAAAGATCTCTGGTGAATGAATTATCATAAAAGCTTCTGTGCTTTTTATTAAAGCTAAACATTACTCTAAGAAAAACATCCCTGGTGACCAACAGCTAGTGGTAGCGACTTCTCCCAAAGCTTCTTTCGTGTCTGCAGGAATCCGTTTCTCCATTGTTCCTTTTTCTGATTAAAGAATGCCTTCTGTTGGGGTGGAAAGACCCTTTGGGCTTCTTTCTCTGCGTTTCTTGGACTATTTAGCCACTTTTAAATACCTGACTAAATTTCAAGTTAGAGAAGTTTTGTTTTCGTTGTTGATCGTTCTGTGAATTTTACCAGCAAAGTACTTTTTCCCCTTCGGTCCCAGTGAAGCAGTCATAAGTCTGAATGACGTAGCCTTTGTTGTGCTTCTTGGTCTAGGTGTCCAGTCACGTTCCATATCCTGTAGCATTGCATGTAAATATCGTCAATGTCCCTCAACCAGCTGCTGCAGCCATACAGGTGAGATGGTCAGAGGGGCAAACCCATTAGCTGAACAAGGCACCGCTTTTAAAGACACTTTATTTTTGCCACATAAGCACGCATATTACAATTCGTAATAGAAAGAAAAGCTAGCAGTTTTGAGGACCTAGTTTGGGACAGGCATTTACCACTGGTGGCTTCTGGAAGTCTCTGATGCATCTGTGAGCATGCGCACTGGCCTCTGCTTTCCCCTCGTTGCCTTAAGTCCCATAAGTTTGCACGAGCAGTGGTAAACTTCGTGGGGGTGGTTCCACACGGACGCTCTCGGGGCTGTATTCGGTGCCTCCCTCAGACCTTGTCTTTGCCTGCTTCACTTGTCACTCTAGAGACACTATAACGATGAAGACCCTGAGAAAGAAAAGCGGATAAAGGAATTAGAGCTGCTCCTGATGTCAACCGAGAATGAGCTGAAAGGACAGCAAACGTTACCGGTAAGAGCATCACCGTGTGCCAGGCAACCTTGTCTCTGCACTCTTCTCTCTCGGGTTTCTCCTCTTCTAAACATTGTATCAGCCAAGATCTGTGTATCTGCGAACAATGCTAATCAGAAGTCGCCTAGCTGTTTGTTTTATAACAGGATCACAGTAACCCTTGAGACTATCAGCATCCACTGTTTCCTTCAAAAGGACGTCCATCAATTTTAAAGACTAGGAAAGATAGAATGATTGAAACATCTGCCTTTTAGCAAAGCTTTATAGACATGTAGTGCCCACTTGTTTGAGTCTTTTTCTTTTGCTGTTATTTTCTTAGCATGTTATTATAACTTGTTATTATAACTTACACATGTTATAATCTCAAATTCGATTTGATGCGTATTTTGTCTATGCATGCCTAAAATAAGGTACATAGGTCACTTCTTTAAATGTTTGCTGCTAACGTTGGTTTGCATGTATGAAAGCTGTGTGGCCCATTTCTATTAGTAGTGATAGTGCACATTTCTGTATACACACATATGTTCCCATAGTTGTGTACACTATGCATGCGGGTGTATGGGCACACATATGTTCAGGCCGGAGGTTGACAGATCTCTAGATTGAAAGTTTTATTATAATTGTGTCTGTTTGTGCACACGTGCTCACATGCACTTTTGGAGGTAAGAGGACAGTTTTACAGAATCAATTCTTTCCTTCTATTGTGGACTCTGGGGATCAAACTCTTTTTTTATCTGCCTAGCCATCTCGCTGTTCATCCACCTTCTATTTTGAGACAGGGTCTCATGAAACCTGGAACTTGCCCATTTGCCTAGGCTGACTGGCCAAGGAGCTCGTGGTTCTGCTTGTCCCTGCCCCTCCAGCACTTGGGTTACTGCTGTGGATGCTTGGAGATCAAACTCAGGGTCTCAGGCTTGCATGGCAATCACCTTTCAGAATGAAACATCTCCCCAGTACCCCTTACCCCTTCCTTTTTTTGTACTGATGATCAAACCTAGGGCCTCACATCTAGATAGCACTCTGACCCTGAACTACAGCCCAAGCCTTTCCGCGGGCTGTTTCTGAATCCTTGATTGGTCAGCAAACTGGATTGTTTGCTTTGGAACATATGTAGTTTACCCAAGAAGTGAGGATGAGAGAAGGGGTACCCGGTCGGGATTTTTCAGGTGGAATGTCTTTTTTGTTGTTTTTGTTAAATCATGAAATAACCTGAGCGTGGTAGTTCAACCACTTTTGAACTTTTGTCAACATTTTGCAACAGAAGGGAACTTCTGTTAACTTGATCCACTTCCTAACCGCGTACACTCTGCAGCCCCACCTTGCATCAGGGCAACCTGTAACCTTAAAAAAAAAAAAAAAAAAAGAAGCAACAGGATATGTGCAGATAAAAGTAGCAGCTCCAACCATAGAGTCCTTTCAATGGCTTAGAATGCAAATGGAACCCTTGGCCAGTCACAGCAAAAACGGGCAGTTTGCAAATTAGACTCAAATGGCTTTCTAAAACACTCTAAGACTTTTGTGTTTTTCTAGCATTCCCGAGGTTTTGCATTTGACTAAAATCATAGCCAGTGAAGCAATCCTGTAGGTATAAATTAGAGAGTTATTGCAAAGCCGTCAAAAAGGAAACATCTTGACAACTGTCTGGCAGGCCCAAGTTTGAATGAGGCAACAACTTTTTATCTTGCCCCCAACAGCCCTCGATGCCTTGTGCAACATTATTGCTAAGTTTCTTCTTCCCTTCTTCTCCCATCCTTATTTCTACACACCCCTTCCTCCCTCAGACACAGACCCATACTTGCAGCTATCCCGGGTGGCACAGCACCTCCATTGTGGACCAGATCAGACCTCATGGAGACAGTGCACCTGTTTCCTGTTTGGGAGAACACCGCTCCACTCCTTCCCTGCCTGCAGATCCTGGCTCTCTACCTGAGGAAAGCGCCTCGCCAGCCAGGTGCATGATCGTCCACCAGGGCACCATTCTGGATAATGTTAAGAACCTCTTAGAATTTGCAGAAACACTCCAATTTATAGATTCTGTAAGTAGAAGTGCTAAAAGGCACGTCGTTTCTGGAAGAGGAATTGAGTACTGATAATGAATCATTGCCATTTTCTATAGCAGATATGATCCGGCCTAGGTCCTTGCAAAGGGAAAGGTCTTCAGGTCTGGCGAGCCCATTTCTCTCAGCGGTCTGATTTCACGTGCTTCCCACACCAAAGACGACTTTCCATATTTTGCCTTCCGCATGTGAATTTTCTTAAAGAGTAATTGACTTACCAGGACGGGCTCAGGATAAGAACTGTGTCTGGGCTGTGTTAAAACAGAATTTCGTGTATTTTGCTTAATTCTTGTTATACTCTAGAAATTTTCCTTGCTGTTTTTGTTTTTCCTTTGTTTTTTGTTTTTGTTTTTGTTTTGGCAGCACATTTGGGCTTAAATTTCCTTGGAGCTTAAGACAAACTTTCAGTTTGAGGGTGGGACATAGCTTTCTCTCCAGAATACTGAACATCGATTAGCAACTTCATTGGTTCACTGAAATAAAGCATCTTCAGTGAAACAAATTTAAGTTCTGCAAACTCTCATTTTTTTTTTCTTGGTCTTCTAGTTGGTTAAAAAGCAGCCATTATTACCATAATGTGTCGTCTAGAAAGGTTTTCTGCTTGCTTTAAATGCATGCAAAAGAGAGTGACTGAGCTCCCCACAGTAGATGGGCAAGGCTACCCAAATACCCCTGTGACCCCTGAGCTAGAAGTCCAGCAGACAGACCCAGGGTTTTCTCGCAGGCGGCATTCCTCGCTAGCTCGCTCGCTTGCTCGCTCCGTGCCGTGTTTCGGGTGATGGTGGCACTCGCCACATGCACACACCTTGTCTCAAAGCTCTGTGCCTCCCACATTGTTTCAGGACTCTTCATGGTGTGATCTCAGCAGTTTTGCATTCTCTGAAGAAGAAGCAGCTTTTTCACGTAGCCAGCCGCACACAGGCAAAGCCTTCCAGCTTCAGCAAAGAGAGGGCCATGAGACTAGACCTGCAGGAGAGCCTGGTCTGAGGGCGAGCAGCCCAGTGCTGAGCCGGGAGGCTTCCCCTGGCCCTGCCAGAGCCTTACCTCCTGCGAGGCACAGCATGGTTCCACTGGTCATCCTTCGAAAAAAGCGGGGCCAGCCCAGCCCCTTAGCCGCGGGAGACTCGAGCGCCTTCCTATTTGCTGACCTCAGCAGCAGCTCAACTCCCAAGCGGTCCCCTGTCAGAGGCTTACCCTTCTCTCCCTCGCAGGTAGACCACAACTTCTGCACAGCTGTTACTAATTTTCTGCCGACACCTGAGCCTTAATAATTAGAGACTAATCTCCTGAACAAAATGACTAACGACCGCTGTCCTGGCCGATTTAACTCTGTCTCGGATCTAGCTGGGGTTGAGATTGCAGATGGCCTCCCGAGCGTGGGCTGGCTGGCGGCAGGCTGGCCGAAGGCTTTGTCGCCGCTCTCTCTCTTACTCCTGGTGGTTTGGAAGACAGATAGCTGCATGAGATGCGCTTTCATTTCCTTCTCTGCCAGAAGCGAGCATTTCCGTGCCCTCCTCTTCTCCCATGTTAGCCCTCCCTCTTCAAATTCTGCCTCTTTGCTCATTTATTACTAAGTGATTTACTCACCCTAGGGGAGGAGGGAACCAAATTCTGGTTACATAACATTTGGATTACAGCTAGAGAACGGAGTCATTAGAACCTATCTGTCGGCGAAAGTGTTGAGGGAGACAACGACAAACAGATGCTTATGCAAAAATAATTTAATGTTTTCGGCATCGGTTCTTTTAAAATTTGCCAGGGCATTTTTTTTTTTAACCAGCGTACTGTTTGCCAAAGAATATTCTTATTTTCATATAGTGCTCTTAAGGCTTGAGCATTAGAATGCTTCGCGGAGCCATGTGTTCCCAAATTAAAATTAAGAGACATTTTGTGTCTTTAAAACATTTCCCCCCAGTTATATTGTTGAAGGTTTTGCATTTCGTTTTATTTTACTTCATTTTATTTTCTTGTGGTTCTGCGACTTGAACCCAGGGCCTCTTGCATGCTAGCGAAGTGCCCTACCACTGAGCTACACATGCTCCTAACCATGATTTAAAAAGAACTTTAAGGATAGACCAATGGTCTTCCCATTCCCCAAAATATAGATTTAGGTGTTTTTCTTTTCCCCCCATATTTTCCTAAACTGTGCTCTGTGAAATTAGTTCTGAAAGACCTAAAATATCTCGGGGGGTGGGAGGAGATCTAGATAGGTAGAAAAGTTTGGGACACTGACTCCGGGTTTCAGAAGGCTTCTTTACTAGAGAACCCCCTCAGACTTTGTTTTTGTTTGGATTTTTAAATTTTTTTTAGCTTTTCAAATTGCATACCGAGTCTTTCAGGCTGTCCTGGCTTGCCTTACACTCCTGTGCTCAAGAAACCTTCCTGCCTCTGAATAACTGTGACTACAGGAAGCAGCCAATGTGCCTGGCTTCCCTTGAGTTTTAAGTGTGCTGGTGTGTAGCCGGTCTACCCAGGAGTTAAGATCCCTTAGGTTTCCCAAACCAGTTTTGCTTTGGGAACATTAGGATTCTGAGAGAGATAGCTTTTTACTCAGTGATTTTTCCACGTAATGCAAACCTTACATAATATTACTCTGGGTTACTAGATCATTGAATCGAGAAAACCAAATATGAAAGAGAAGTAAGATAATAATCTTTTTAAGGTTAATCAAGAGCACATCCCGTTGACTTTCATGGCAAGTGTCATTTATGGAGGAGATTTGCTTTTGAATTTTCAAGGCTTTAGCTTTGACCTTAGATTTTGTTTCTTATAAATAACATGCCAAATTTTGGTCCTCAGTGGAAGGAAGTCAATATCCCCATCAACACTATATGGTTGTTAGTGTTGTCAGTATTTGGGCTCATGAGTCCCTGGAGTATCCTTGCTTACTATGTGGGTCTGCCTTCAAATTGGGACAAGCACAGACTCATTATTTAATCTAAGTTAGTTTTCTCTCTCTTTCTCCTGTATTTAGTTCTTGAACACTTCCAGCAACCACGAAAACTCAGGCTTAGATGTGCCTACTTTAACCTCTACCCCTCTCAGCGGTCACAAGCTGACAACACCATGTCATAGAGACCAGACTGTGAAAACCCAGAAGGAAAATTCCATGTAAGTCCTCGGCTCAGTAAGAAAAATGTTTATATTATTTATTTTAATGAAGACAGTCCCAGAAGTTTGACCCCCTTGTATATATGTAATTCATTCACTGTATGTATCCTGTGCATTCCCACAATGACTGTATCCTCAGCATGTTACGACTAACCAGGAAATGAGCAAATTGCTTTTTCTAGTGCAGTCTAAGTGCACACAACGTTAGTTTTCATATACTTCTCGCAGCCAATTTTTCTTCCCATTATTTTTTGATATTCTTTTAAAAAAAGATTAAAGCATTCAGAATAGAATTGAGAATGGTTCATAGTTTATATTTTTTAATTTTACTTTTTCTTTTTTATAAGATATATGCATTAGGATCTCTTCAGATACTTACAGGAAAAAATTGTGTATGTATGTATGTATGTATGTATGGATAAATGGATGGATGGATGGATTTATGTATGTGCATGTGTATGTGTATTTCAAAGCCCAAGGTGATTAAGTAATTGAAAAGAAATACATTCTTTGAAAGAAATGCATTCTTATTGCTTCCAAGTAAAAGCAAAGTTTTAGACATTAGCATGTTTTCTAGTTTTGGTCCACTTGAGGGAGTAGATAAGACTGATTTGTAAGTGATACCAGATATTCCCAGCACTTTCAGTCCAGGACCATCACCTGTATCGTTGGGACCATCCTCAAAAGACAGGAACTGTTTTAGAGCTCTTAGTCTTAGGACAAAGTATTTTGAAGTATTCGTAGATCTGTAATATAACAACAATCGAGATCCACTATCTTTTAATGGCTATAACGAAAAACTGTGGTTATGCACTGAGGGGGGTGTAAGCAATGTGTGTCTTTTTCATTGAGCTTTTGATGGTTCTCTTTCTCAGCTTTAGGACACCAGCTATCAAAAGGTCAATCCTTGAAAGCTCTCCGAGAACCCCCACACCATTCAAACATGCTCTTGCCGCTCAAGAAATCAAATATGGTCCCCTGAAGATGCTAGTAAGTTCAAGAAAGGTCCTTAGATTTAGCGCGCTTACCCGTGTAGATGATAAGTATCCTCTGATCCAGAAATATCCTCTTCCCTTAGCCTCAGACACCCTCCCACTTAGTGGAAGACCTACAGGATGTGATCAAGCAGGAATCCGATGAATCTGGAATTGTTGCTGAGTTTCAAGAGAATGGACCCCCACTACTGAAGAAAATCAAACAGGAGGTGAGTTACCCTAGCTCCCCTGCACTCTGAACTGCGTCGCATCCATGCTATTTGGCGGTGACACTTTCCTCACAAGACTATCATGCAAAAATAGTTGAAAGGCACTGGTGTACTGCAGACTCCCGTCTTCCATTTGAAAATTCAGTTACATCAACTTCTTTAGACAGAAAAGATACTAGAGAGGGGTACAGGGAGGAAGGGGCAGCAGGTTTATATTCCACTTTCAGAAATTACTGATATAGTGGCAATGAGGTCACCGATCCAAATCATGGCCAAATTAATTAAAGCAAGATTTTTTATTCATGCATATGGGCTGACCCTCTCTATCACAGGGCTCAAGAAGTCAGCATTGAACATGGGGAAAATAAGGGTTTTTATAGCTCAGGGGTAGGGGGTTACAGAAGCAGAACATAAAACATAACATATTAAGCATACGCATGACACATTGGTTATAACAACCTCCTGAAACCAAGACATATTTGCAAGGTGACGGTCATAACAACTTTTTGAAACAAAGGCATGGTTGTTGTTTCCTGAAACATACAATACAGAACCATTTGTACTTAAGGTCATAGGTGGGGCATAGCCCAGTCCTTGAGAAACAGAGATTTAATCATAACAGGAATGAACCAAGTTTATCTTTACTGTAAGACAGCTTTTCAGGCCTAAGATGGAGGCGAGGCTGGTTTATCAATAAGGGGGTTGGATAGGTGGACAAAAAGACAGGCAGGCAGGCAGAGACACAGACAGACAGACAGACAGGAGATAGATAAATGACAGATTCATTTCTGTCATCTTAAGTACCAAGAAATAGTTTATTCTAAGACAGAATGACCATGGCCAGAGAATTATAGATTCAAGAATAGAAGTTTCCAAGCCCAACAGAATGAAATTTTAATCATCAGAAATCTACGTGCTAACTTACTGGGAAGAGCCATTGCCAACAGGTTGAACCCACCATTCAGGCAAGACTTTGTGTTCCAAAGACTGGGGTAGAAATTTACACCTGACAGCAAATGTTTCCTGGAAGTCTCTTCCATAACAAAGCACTTCCTTTTTGCTCTTAGGTGGAGTCACCCACGGAAAAAGCAGGAAATTTCTTCTGCTCAAACCACTGGGAAGGGAACAGTCTGAGTACCCAGCTGTTCGCTCAGGCGTCTCCCGTGGCAGATGCCCCAGTGAGTATCATGTGGCCTCTTCTGTGATGGTGTGTGTGTCTCATGGACTCCCGTGGGTGGTGTGGGGGACCACAGTGCCTTTGGCTCTCACTCTTTATGTCGTTGGGTTTCTAAGTATTCACACCCACAGATTCCTTTGCATTTGCTTTGTCTTCTAAGTGTCTTATTTCCTTCCAGTTAAGCAATCTGTTGTTTGGTTCCCTGCTACCTAGACAGTCCTGGTGTGCATCAAATGCTTGGCATTCTAGGTCCTACCCTAGGGGTCCTTCTATAGCCACAGGAGATTGGTCCCACACCAGATGCTCTCATTCTTTAATTAAAATGGCACAGTGTTTGCATATAACCCATGCAATCCTCCTATGTGCTTTAAATCGCTCTCGGATTAGCTCCGATCTCTCATGGTGTATAAATGTACTTTTCTGTGTCAGTGTTTTG